GAAGGGTAGGGAAGGTGGTGAAGGGTAGGGGAGGTGGTGAAGGGTAGGGAAGGTGGTGAAGGGTAGGGAAGGTGGTGAAGGGTAATCACAACACCTTGTGGTTGTGATTACAGGATTTGAGCACTACCTACAACACCCAGACACTAACTACAACACCCAGACACTAACTACAACACCCAGACACTAACTACAACACCCAGACACTAACCACAACAACCAGACACTAACTACAACAACCAGACACTAACTACAACAACCAGACACTAACTACAACAACCAGACACTAACTACAACAACCAGACACTAACTACAACAACCAGACACTAACTACAACAACCAGACACTAACTACAACACCCAGACACTAACTACAACACCCAGACACTAACTACAACACCCAGACACTAACTACAACAACCAGACACTAACTACAACAACCAGACACTAACTACAACAACCAGACACTAACTACAACAACCAGACACTAACTACAACAACCAGACACTAACTACAACACCTAGACACTAACTACAACACCCAGACACTAACTACAACACCCAGACACTAACTACAACACCCAGACACTAACTACAACAACCAGACACTAACTACAACAACCAGACACTAACTACAACAACCAGACACTAACTACAACAACCAGACACTACAACAACCAGACACTAACTACAACAACCAGGCACTAACCACAACCCCCAGACACTAACCACAACACCCAGACACTAACTACAACCCCCAGACACTAACCACAACAACCAGACACTAACCACAACAACCAGACACTAACCACAACAACCAGACACTAACCACAACAACCAGACACTAACCACAACAACCAGACACTAACCACAACAACCAGACAGCACCATCCACAAGATATTAACAACAAATCAGAGTGTGAGAGGAGTGAGTGAGAGGGAGAGTGCGGGGGAGTGGCGGTGAAGGGGGAAGAAATCCGTCACATAAGAGTCTGGCACAAGAGAGAGAGAGACCTCTCCACAGACAAAGTCCGACGAGCAAAGTGTTCATTACACAGTGGAGAGAAAGTTTGCTCAGGCAAGATAACCCCCTTGACGTGGCCAGCCCGCCCCCAAGCCTCTCACACCTCACCCTAAACAATCTCTTCCCCCATTGCCAGATAACAATACCCACATCTAACCGTTCAGACGCATACATAGTCTGATCATTACCTACGTCTCCTTCCTAACCTATTACCAACCCCCGGAACCACGCTCCACGCGCCAGCTTAATCTCCACGCCACAGCCTATCCCCTGCCATTCTCTACGTCCCACCATCACATTCATCACCTGGTATCTACCCTTCCCCCTATTACTCAAGAACCATACAACATATCTTCAACTCGCTCACCATCAATCACATCCCAATATACCCACTTGAAGATTCCGACTTTCCTCCCAACCAACACCACCTAATCATCCTTATCCCAGCTCCCAACCATCGACCACTGATATTGCTCAGAGGGCCCCGATTGTCTCTTGTTTTCTGGTGTGTTTAAGGTCGGTTATGGGGTGGAATGAACGAAGATATTGTGGCAGGAGGAGGAGCAGAGACCCCCCCTCCCCCCCCACACACACTGTCTGTTTGAGTCCTCAATACAGCAGAATTTTGAAATCCACTCAATTGTTGCCAGCACACTACATGGTAGAGTGCTTGGTCCTCTGCTGTGGAATGTCAGTGATCTGCTTCATCTTATTCCTGAAGCTCATGGCTGTGCATTCTAACTTTCAGCGATTTCTACCTGAGTTAGGAGATGGCAGGTCACATTTGCGACTGAGAAAACACAAGCGATGATGATAACTAGACTGCACATTGGAAATCGGTCAGACTTGCAAATGGTTGGGGAAAACCTAGAGTTCACAGATGAAATTGTAATTTTTGGAATAAAGTTTGACTTTTCTATGACAATGAAGAACCTCGTGCTTAACCTAGCCCAAAAGGCAGCCAGGAGACTTACAGCCCTACGGCAGGGGCTGTAGGGCTGTAAGTTCTAATCTCAGCTATCTCACACCTTCTTCACAGCAAGGACTAAGAAACTTTATATGAAGAACAAGGTCACTCCCGTCTTGAGTATGTACCGTCTCCTAGATTGCCCGCACCCCATCGTTCATCAAACTTCTGGAAAAAGTGGAGAGCCGAGCAAGAGATCTCATCTCTAGTCTTGACCAAGTCTGCCTGAGCCTCCAACACTGTTGTGACCTTGATGTACAAGGTGGCCAGCATTCTCAAAGTTCCGCACCTGGCCCAACTTCGTGGACAACCAGTAGTTGGCACCCGTAGCACTAGGTTCTCAACCTTCAACAGTCTCATGCTGGAAGTACCTTTCTCAGGAACATCACTCCATCGCCGTTCATTCCTTCCTCGGCTGACTCGCATCTGGAACATGTTTGTTCAGCATGTTGCTACACTGGAGATCAGGTCACCATGACGGCTCTGGCACAGTTGGCTTCAGCCTGTTCCTATTCCTTATATGATTCTTACTTAAAAGTTAAATAAAGTTTATTCCCAATGATATATAAAATAAACTCATGAAATAAATATATCTCTAGGAGCAGGCCAGAGATGATATAAATATATATATATATATATATATATATATATATATATATATATATATATATATATATATATATAATATACCAGTATATATATATATATCCAGCTGGTACAGCCTGCTGGAGCTATGGTGTAACCAGACGACGCAGCTGGTGACACAGACAGGCGTGAGGATGACTGCAAGACACTAGAGAGAGAGAGAGTTAGAGTTAGAGAAACAGAGCCAGCATGCCAGTGATGGTGGTGGCAGGTGGCCGGCTCCGGGACTGGCCGGATGAGCGGGCTGCAGTGTGGCCGGGTAGGGGCCAGGCCGTCAAGGAGGGCCAGGGGCGGGCTGCTGGGGATCACAGGGGGGCGTCGACTCTACATTGATCTGGACACATAATGACACAGGAGCGGCCACAAGCACAATCATTACACGCGGGATGAAACAATAAGGAGTTTAGCAGGTCGCGGCCACCGTAGCGGCGCAAGCCTCGCCTGGAGGCCGCCCTGCAGAACCACCCCTTAGGGTGATGGGGTCCAAGGGTGACCACTGGGACACGCTGGGGTCCAGGGGTGTGTCGCTCTGGCCTGGGGTGCCGCTCTGTCCAAGGTAATATCGCGTCTTAATTCCCCAGCTCGATGCCTCAATCTGGCCCTCAGCTGCCGCGCCAGTCTCAACACCCAGGCAAAAACCCCTTCATTGTTATTGTTGGGGGGGGGGGGGGTGATGGGGGAGGGGCGGGGGGGGGAGCGGTGATAGGGAGAAGAGTGATGGGGGAGGTAATGGGGAGAAGAGTGATGGGGAGATGTAATGGGGAGAAGAGTGATGGGTGGATGTAATGGGGAGAAGAGTGATGGGGAGGGGTAATGGGGAGAAGAGTGATGGGGAGGGGTGATGGGGAGAAGAGTGATGGGTGGGGTGTAATGGGGAGAAGAGTGATGGGGAGGGGTAATGGGGAGAAGAGTGATGGGGAGGGGTGATGGGGAGGGTGATGGGGAGAAGAGTGATGGGGAGGGGTGATGGGGAGAAGAGTGATGGGGGAGAGGAATCGTAAATTGAGGAATAGGGTAGAAGACTGGTGGTGATGGGAGGGGAGAGGAAGGGAGGGAGAGAGAGGGAGGGAGAGGGAGGGAGAGGGAGGGAGGGAGGGAGAGAGAGGGAGGGAGGGAGGGAGGGAGGGAGAGAGAGGGAGGGAGAGAGGGTAATTAGAGTGATGTGTCCTAATTGATGATTCACACTGGCAGCGTCACCAACATGCGCTCTTGTTATTAATCTCTGACCCTCCCCTTCCCTTCCCTTCCCTTCCCTTCCCTTCCCTTCCCTTCCCTTCCCTTCCCTTCCCTTCCCTTCCCCCCTTCCCTTCCCTTCCCTTCCCTTTCCTTCCCTTCCCTTCCCTTCCCTTCCCCCTTCCCTCCCCTTCCCTCCCCTTCCCTCCCCTTCCCTTCCCTTCCCTCCCCTTCCCTTCCCTTCCCTTCCCTCCCCTTCCCTCCCCTTCCCTCCCCCCTTCCCTGCCTCTCCTCCCTTCCTTCCCTTCCCTTCCTCATCCTTCCCTTTCTCTTCCTCTTCTCACCATACTCATTAACCTGACCATACCCACACCATACACCCTCACCATACTCACTAACCTGACCATACACCCTCACCATACCCACTAACCTTACCATACTTACTAACCTCACCATACACCCTCACCATACCCACACCCTCACCATACTCACTAACCTCACCATACACTCTCACCACACACCCTCACCATACACCCTCACCATACACCCTCACCACACACCCCTCACCATACACCCTCACCATACACCCTCACGAAACTCACACCACACACCCTCACCACACACCCTCACCACACACCCTCACCACACACCCTCACCATACACCCTCACCATACCCACAGGTGACTAACAGCGTCACTCCTCACACCATCACAAATGATGATAAATTTATAAGCCAATAGAAAGAGGCCATGTTGTTGTTGTTGTTGTGGGGGGGGGCGGTGGGGGGTAGGGGGGGACGGGGATCAATAGTGTTCCACGCACCATAAAGCTCATTATATGTGTTTACATGTCTAACAAAATATAAGCTGAGTGCGCAAACAACCTTGCTCTTTCCTTGAACGAGATGTTCTTCCTAATTGGATCAAGATTTAATTAACTGGTTAAATTAGCTCTTAAAGTAGTGTAGAGAGGCGGGAGCCGGAGGAGAGCCTGATGGTCCGTCCGGCCGGGCGGGGCGGGGGCCAGAGTGGCCTGGTCCTCGCCGCCCGGATTGGCCCCACTTGAGTCAAACAATCCGGCATCGGACGCGCTTATCTGGCTTGTCAGCAGTCGGGTGGGGGAGGGGAGGGGGGGGGATTGTTAGACTGTTAGTGTGTGTAAAGTGGGAGGAGGTGACTGTCCTCTAAGACAGTCACCAGTTGGGCCACACTAGCACTCGTCAAGGCCAGTTGGGCCACACTAGCACTCGTCAAGGCCAGCTGGGCCACACTAGCACTCGTCAAGGCCAGCTGGGCCACACTAGCACTCGTCAAGGCCAGCTGGGCCACACTAGCACTCGTCAAGGCCAGCTGGGCCACACTAGCACTCGTCAAGGCCAGCTGGGCCACACTAGCACTCGTCAAGGACAGCTGGGCCACACTAGCACTCGTCAAGGCCAGCCGGGCCACACTAGCACTCGTCAAGGCCAGTTGGGCCACACTAGCACTCGTCAAGGCCAGTTGGGCCACACTAGCACTCGTCAAGGCCAGCCGGGCCACACTAGCACTCGTCAAGGCCAGTTGGGCCACACTAGCACTCGTCAAGGCCAGTTGGGCCACACTAGCACTCGTCAAGGCCAGCCGGGCCACACTAGCACTCGTCAAGGCCAGTTGGGCCACACTAGCACTCGTCAAGGCCAGTTGGGCCACACTAGCACTCGTCAAGGCCAGCCGGGCCACACTAGCACTCGTCAAGGCCAGCCGGGCCACACTAGCACTCGTCAAGGCCAGTTGGGCCACACTAGCACTCGTCAAGGCCAGCCGGGCCACACTAGCACTCGTCAAGGCCACACTGTCAAGGTCTCAGGGACCACACACTGAACAAATCCACAAGGGCCCTGGTGAGGGTTCGAACTTACGTCCAGGATAATCCCAGACGCGCCTTAGTCAATTGCGCCACGACACGGTACAAAGAATTGTAACCGGGAGTGCTACTGCCCTCACACGGGTCCTGCAGCTTCTCCGAGACACAAGCCGGGGTTGTCCACACTTCCCCCCATGCATGCTCAAAGAATCCGTCAAGTGATTGGACAAGAAATTAGTTTACCCGGAAGGAGATTATTGGTTCCCTCCAGACGTGAGTTGTGTCAGTTATAGTCATCATAGTCCACTGGATCAACCTTCACCATTGTATTAGTTGAGGCTAGCTGCTAGCCTCTAGCCTCTAGCTGCTAGCCTCTAGCTGCTAGCCTCTAGCCGCTAGCCTCTAGCTGCTAGCCTCTAGCCTCTAGCTGCTAGCCTCTAGCTGCTAGCCTCTAGCTGCTAGCCTCTAGCTGCTAGCCTCTAGCTGCTAGCCTCTAGCCGCTAGCCTCTAGCTGCTAGCCTCTAGCTGCTAGCCTCTAGCCGCTTCTCGTGACTTTTGTTTTTCTGCCCTGAAACCACTTCGTAGCTTGTCTTTGCTTGTGCTCTAGTTTGTTGATGTGTTTCTTGAGAGAGAGAAAGAGAGAGAGAGAGAGAGAGAGAGAGAGAGAGAGAGATGAAGGGGGAGGAGAGAGAGAGAGAGAGAGAGAGAGAGAGTGAGAGAGAGAGAGAGATGAAGGATGGAGAGAGAGAGAGAGCGAGAAAGAGATGAAGGGAGGGGGGAGAGAGAACACAGTAAACTAGAGTGTTATAAGACACTCCACCATTAACGGGAGTGGAAGCCACTGATGACCCCGAGCTAATGAGAAGCACAGCAACCGTTCCACCCGGGTGTCTCTGATGGCTCCTCCACCACACACCCGCCCTCACCGCCCTCAGCAGCGCCTCACCGCCCTCAGCAGCGCCTCACCGCCCACAACAGGGCCTCACCGCCCTCAGCAGCCCCTCACCAGAGCCTCACCGCCCTCAGCAGCGCCTCACCGCCCTCACCAGAGCCTCAGCAGCGCCTCACCGCCCTCACCAGGGCCTCACCGCCCTCACCAGGGCCTCACCGCCCTCACCAGGGCCTCACCGCCCTCACCAGGGCCTCAGTACCGCCCTCACCGCCCACAACAGGGCCTCACCGCCCTCAGCAGCCCCTCACCAGAGCCTCACTGCCCTCAGCAGCGCCTCACCGCCCTCACCAGAGCCTCAGCAGCGCCTCACCGCCCTCACCAGGGCCTCACCGCCCTTACCAGGGCCTCACCGCCCTCACCAGGGCCTCACCGCCCTTACCAGGGCCTCACCGCCCTCACCAGGGCCTCAGTACCGCCCTCACCGCCCACAACAGGGCCTCACCGCCCTCAGCAGCCCCTCACCAGAGCCTCACTGCCCTTAGCAGCGCCTCACCGCCCTCACCAGAGCCTCAGCAGCGCCTCACCTCCCTCAGCAGCGCCTCACCGCCCACAACAGGGCCTCACCGCCCTCAGCAGCCCCTCACCAGAGCCTCACCGCCCTCAGCAGAGCCTCACCGCCCTCACCAGAGCCTCAGCAGCGCCTCACCGCCCTCAGCAGCGCCTCACCGCCCACAACAGGGCCTCACCGCCCTCAGCAGCCCCTCACCAGAGCCTCACCGCCCTCAGCAGAGCCTCACCGCCCTCAGCAGAGCCCCAGCAGCGCCCTCACCGCCCACAACAATCAGCCACTTGCCGGAGTGCGGCCAAACACTAAGGTCGGTGGGGGCGGGTTTTTCAGCGGGCGGACCGCTGGCTCCTGAGACTGGAGTGTTTGGTCTCCAGTTTTTATTGCCTTCTCTCTATAAGAATACTGCCCATGTTGCTATTGAATGTTCGCCGGATATGAGTGTGGTGATGGTGTGGTGGTGTGGTGTGGTGGTGTGTGGTGGTGTGTGATGGTGTGTGGTGGTGCTGTGGTGGTGTGTGGTGGTGTGTGGTGGTGTGGTGGTGGTGTGTGGTGGTGTGTGGTGGTGCTGTGGTGGTGTGTGGTGGTGTGGTGGTGGTGCTGTGGTGGTGTGTGGTGGTGTGTGGTGGTGTGTGGTGGTGTGGTGGTGGTGTGTGGTGGTGTGTGGTGGTGTGTGGTGGTGTGTGGTGGTGTGTGGTGGTGTGTGGTGGTGTGGTGTGGTGGTGGTGCTGGTTCTGTGGTGGTGGTTCTGTGGTGGTGCTGTGTGGTGGTGTGTGGTGGTGTGGTGTGGTGGTGTGTGGTGGTGTGGTGTGGTGGTGGTGCTGGTTCTGTGGTGGTGGTTCTGTGGTTGTGTGGTGTGGTGGTGTGTGGTGTGGTGGTGTGTGGTGGTGCTGTGGTGGTGGTGTGGTGGTGGTGCTCTGATAGTAGTGGTGTGTGTGGTGGTGGTGGTGTGGTGGTGTGTGGTGGTGGTGGTGCTGTGGGTGTGGTGGTGCTGCGTATACATCTTCAATAACACATACACTTCACCACACTGGATTTCATCCCCACTTCCTCTCATCTCCCTGAGCTCCCCCTCTCCTACACCCCCCTCGCCCCCTCCCCCACCCCCACCCTCACCCTCGCCCCCACACACGGAGGCCACAAGTGATCCATCAGGCTGTGAGCGCCTGCTGATGATCACTAACTTGCAACAATTATCCCACTAATCGATACGGCTTCTTAGGGGCCGCTTTGATCTGATTACTCCAGCATCCCGCCCCTCCTCACACTCCCTGTGTTGTCCCAGCTGCTGTCCCACCTGTTACAGGTGTCCCAGCTGCTGTCCCACCTGTTACAGGTGTCCCAGCTGCTGTCCCACCTGTCACCAGGTGTCCCAGCTGCTGTCCCACCTGTCACCAGGTGTCCCAGCTGCTGCTCCACCTGTCACCAGGTGTCCCAGCTGCTGCTCCACCTGTCACCAGGTGTCCCAGCTGCTGCTCCACCTGTCACCAGGTGTCCCAGCTGTTAAGTCTGCCTCCCAAATGCAATAAAAGGGTGTTCTTTTTTCACAATTTCAGACCTTTTATTTGCATGACATTTCTGCTATAGACGAGTCGCACTGTTGGCGCGTGAGGCTTGTAGTGTTTGTGAGTTGTGCTGTGTTACACTATACACCTGTGGCAGGTGTTGGTGTTACACTATACACCTGTGGCAGGTGTTAATGTTACACTATACACCTGTGGCAGGTGTTAATGTTACACTATACACCTGTGGCAGGTGTTAATGTTACACTATACACCTGTGGCAGGTGTTAATGTTACACTATACACCTGTGGCAGGTGTTGGTGTTACACTATACACCTGTGGCAGGTGTTGGTGTTACACTATACACCTGTGGCAGGTGTTGGTGTTACACTATACACCTGTGGCAGGTGTTGGTGTTACACTATACACCTGTGGCAGGTGTTGGTGTTACACTATACACCTGTGGCAGGTGTTGGTGTTACACTATACACCTGTGGCAGGTGTTAATGTTACACTATACACCTGTGGCAGGTGTTGGTGTTACACTATACACCTGTGGCAGGTGTTGTGTTACACTATACACCTGTGGCAGGTGTTGGTGTTACACTATACACCTGTGGCAGGTGTTGGTGTTACACTATACACCTGTGGCTGGTGTTGTGTTACACTATACACCTGTGGCAGGTGTTGGTGTTACACTATACACCTGTGGCAGGTGTTGGTGTTACACTATACACCTGTGGCAGGTGTTGTGTTACACTATACACCTGTGGCAGGTGTTGGTGTTACACTATACACCTGTGGCAGGTGTTGTGTTACACTATACACCTGTGGCAGGTGTTGTGTTACACTATACACCTGTGGCAGGTGTTGGTGTTACACTATACACCTGTGGCAGGTGTTGTGTTACACTATACACCTGTGGCAGGTGTTGGTGTTACACTATACACCTGTGGCAGGTGTTGGTGTTACACTATACACCTGTGGCAGGTGTTGGTGTTACACTATACACCTGTGGCAGGTGTTAATGTTACACTATACACCTGTGGCAGGTGTTGGTGTTAACTATACACCTGTGGCAGGTGTTGGTGTTACACTATACACCTGTGGCAGGTGTTGTGTTACACTGTACACCTGAGGCAGGTGTTGGTGTTACACTATACACCTGTGGCAGGTGTTGGTGTTACACTATACACCTGTGGTAGGTGTTGGTGTTACACTATACACCTGTGGCAGGTGTTAATGTTACACTATACACCTGTGGCAGGTGTTGGTGTTACACTATACACCTGTGGCAGGTGTTAATGTTACACTATACACCTGTGGCAGGTGTTGGTGTTAACTATACACCTGTGGCAGGTGTTGGTGTTACACTATACACCTGTGGCAGGTGTTGGTGTTACACTATACACCTGTGGCAGGTGTTAATGTTACACTATACACCTGTGGCAGGTGTTGGTGTTACACTATACACCTGTGGCAGGTGTTGTGTTACACTATACACCTGTGGCAGGTGTTAATGTTACACTATACACCTGTGGCAGGTGTTGGTGTTACACTATACACCTGTGGCAGGTGTTGGTGTTACACTATACACCTGTGGCAGGTGTTGGTGTTACACTATACACCTGTGGCAGGTGTTGGTGTTACACTATACACCTGTGGCAGGTGTTGGTGTTACACTGTACACCTGTGGCAGGTGTTGGTGTTACACTGTACACCTGTGGCAGGTGTTGGTGTTACACTATACACCTGTGGCAGGTGTTGGTGTTACACTATACACCTGTGGCAGGTGTTGGTGTTACACTGTACACCTGTGGCAGGTGTTGGTGTTACACTATACACCTGTGGCAGGTGTTGGTGTTACACTGTACACCTGTGGCAGGTGTTGGTGTTACACTATACACCTGTGGCAGGTGTTGGTGTTACACTATACACCTGTGGCAGGTGTTGGTGTTACACTATACACCTGTGGCAGGTGTTGGTGTTACACTATACACCTGTGGCAGGTGTTGTGTTACACTATACACCTGTGGCAGGTGTTGGTGTTACACTATACACCTGTGGCAGGTGTTAATGTTACACTATACACCTGTGGCAGGTGTTAATGTTACACTATACACCTGTGGCAGGTGTTAATGTTACACTATACACCTGTGGCAGGTGTTGTGTTACACTATACACCTGTGGCAGGTGTTAATGTTACACTATACACCTGTGGCAGGTGTTAATGTTACACTATACACCTGTGGCAGGTGTTAATGTTACACTATACACCTGTGGCAGGTGTTAATGTTACACTATACACCTGTGGCAGGTGTTAATGTTACACTATACACCGGCAAATACACGTAGTAGATATGATAGACAAAATTACGTCGAGAGTCAGTACATTTGAGACCCGAGGGTTAGAGAGGCGGGGTCCAAGAGCTAGCAGCTCGACCCCTCAGGTACAAATAGTAAACACACAGACACAGGTAATATCTGTAGCAACAATTAGTGTCAGTAATCAAGAGTCACTCACCTGGTGGTGAGAGCCAATGGGAGGTAGGGGTGAGGGTGAGGGGGATGGTGAGGGGTGAGGGGGGGGACAACATAATGACAACATGTTGTCTTCAAGGGACAACATGATGACCTTCCTGGCCCCCTGGCGGGAGGTGTAGGGACTCTCACCCTGGGTCAGCTCCCTGTGCTGGGTGATCTCTTAAGCTGTTTGTTCTAGCGGCTCGTGTGAAGTGTGTGGCTCTACGTCACAGTCCTACAAGCACAGTCCCTAGTAAATTGTGTAGGACGCCTACGGTGAAGGTCACCAGTCACGCTACAGTGCCGTCTAAATAACAAACAATATTGTTATCTAAATAACCACCCAAACTACAGTGGTGTCCACGTGTCTACACTACCACAATGGTGTCCACGTGTCTACACTACCACAATGGTGTCCACGTGTCTACACTACCACAATGGTGTCCACGTGTCTACACTACCACAATGGTGTCCACGTGTCTACACTACCACAATGGTGTCCACGTGTCTACACTACCACAATGGTGTCCACGTGTCTACACTACCACAATGGTGTCCACGTGTCTACACTACCACAGTGGTGTCCACGTGTCTACACTACACACAGTGGTGTCCACGTGTCTACACTACCACAATGGTGTCCACGTGTCTACACTACCACAATGGTGTCCACGTGTCTACACTACCACAATGGTGTCCACGTGTCTACACTACCACAGTGGTGTCCACGTGTCTACACTACCACAATGGTGTCCACGTGTCTACACTACCACAATGGTGTCCACGTGTCTACACTACCACAATGGTGTCCACGTGTCTACACTACCACAATGGTGTCCACGTGTCTACACTACCACAATGGTGTCCACGTGTCTACACTACCACAATGGTGTCCACGTGTCTACACTACCACAGTGGTGTCCACGTGTCTACACTACCACAATGGTGTCCACGTGTCTACACTACCACAGTGGTGTCCACGTGTCTACACTACCACAATGGTGTCCACGTGTCTACACTACCACAATGGTGTCCACGTGTCTACACTACCACAATGGTGTCCACGTGTCTACACTACCACAGTGGTGTCCACGTGTCTACACTACCACAGTGGTGTCCACGTGTCTACACTACCACAATGGTGTCCACGTGTCTACACTACCACAGTGGTGTCCACGTGTCTACACTACCACAATGGTGTGTAACAAGTCAGTCTCAGGCAGGTGTACCAAGTCCCCAACCACTTGTGATAATTCCATTTGCCTCAATAATATCCACCCAGA